TTTCCAACGAATCGCTGCTGTGTGACACGAGATTAGGCACGGAATGTATCCTCAAACTTAGCCGAGGAGTTCCAACCGGGGAGCTATGCTCAGGCGTATTACTAAAGGAGGGCGTCATCCAATCGTCTGCTGTCATGTGCTTCGACACGGAAATACCGAGTTCGCCAGATTCTATCGGGCTGCGGGTGAACCATACGAACTTATTAGTGAATGGAGCATCAGCCCCTTGGAGTTGCTGGATCATCTTCTGGGTATTGTATCAGCCGTTGAATTAGGATGCATGTGCTGTGCTCACCCTAAACGCGCTCGTTCCTCTCGGAAGTGTCTTACGAGACTCCAAAGTCCTGGCGGACCATCCAATTTACAACTCACTCTTTATGGTGAAAGGAATCCATGCTGATATCGACCACCATCGGAAGATTCTTCTCGTATTTCAGAGGATAGATCAAGGGAACTCCAGTGAACGTCGAAAGCATGGTGACCAGGTGGAAGAGATATGCCATTCCAGTTGACACAACTTGATCAGAGCGATCTGTCGTGAGCTTAAATGGATTTTTCGGTCCTCTCCTGACTACGCGAAGGAAGCTCGACCGCGCATTCATGCGTTCATTCATTCGCTTTATTATCAAGTGATTCTAACAAGGGTATATAGTATATACCGAGAAGAGTTATCAGAGACTCGCCAGGAGAAAAGATTCCCAATGGCTTTGCCCCTGGCAACACATTTGGGCTGAAGTTTCACGCCTGATCGAAGGCGATTTGTAGTGAAGTTGGAAAACGAGCCGAGAGTACCACTTGAGACAAATCGCTTGAGAGAGCGGGCATCAGCTTCAGCGTGGAGCTCATGGAGTGAAGGAACACAGACGGTGGAGCGGTCTACACCGCAGCGGTCGGCAACGCGTCCGACGAATTTCCGACGGATAGCTTCAAGTAATTTCACATCACCGATGAGATAGGGGGACCAGACTGGAGCGCAATATAGGAGTAGCGGAAAGACGAGAGATCGGTAGAGGTTTTCGTAGTACTCAGGTCGCCGGATAGCGAAACATCGGAGACTGAGATTGCAGATTGAAGATGCAGATGAAGCAATCCGGGCGAAATGTCTTGTTGTGTAATCGCTCAATGATTACAACGAAGTGATTGATACACAACATACACAACATTCATACACAACATTTCTCCTGAACTTGAGGTCGGAAGAGATGAGGACACCGAGACTCCCTCATGGAGTCGGCGA